AAGGGGTGATTATTACAAGAATATGTTTCAATGAAACTTGGATCAGGAAAGCTTTCAGATTTCCATAGTGAAATTTTGCTCAGAGAAAGAGAAACCCATCTCAGTATAGGAACATCTCTCAAATTGTGAGCCCTTCTCTTGGGATGGACTAGTTGCTCACTCAGTGGACTAGTCCTAACTCAAGTAACACTATGCGTCTTGGTGCTCCCACATCCTGTTTGAAGACAGTTTGCACCAGTATGTCAGTAGGCTGGAGCTGGTATCTCACTTTGATTTGCTTTTCATTCAGTGCTTAGCAATGTCTTGATTTGAGAAGCACTTGAAATCTATGCGGGTCTGTCTCCTGACATCTGTTCTGCTTGAGATAGTTAATTTAAAAACAGGATTTGAAGGAACCTCCCCCATTCTTAAAATCCAGTTGCTCAGAGTTGAATGATGATCTTTCATCTTATCCTTTTAAAACTGCATCAGAGGTCACCTTTTTCCTCTGTTACTCTGCAAATTCGTCTGCAACCTCAGTCTTTTCACAGCTAGAAATAGTCCTCCGGTTTCCAAGCTGGAGATATTCTTGCCAGTTTACTCACATTTGTATCTCAGCCAGGCCTGGGATTTTAGGCCCCTTACCTGTCATATGAAATCTTCCTTTCTAATCCTCTGCAGAAAACAAGATATCCTTTTTATTGGATAGTATCCATAGAGTGATTAATGAGGAAAGTAAGTACCCACAGGTAGTATGAGAGCTCAAAAATACTCATTTATTGTTCTCCCTGTTCAAGCTGTGATCTTGGCCCGTATCCTTTGGTAGGCTAAATGTTGAGGATTTCAGTTCAGCTGTCAGTTTGAATAATTTCCCAAGTAGATATTCCTTTTGATTAGTACTCTGTGAGAGCGAGGGGTATGTATAAGAAACTTGTCACCGATGTCCCTGACTGTGGTGTTGCACCGGTCTTCTGTCTTCATTCAATTGTATGTAATACTACATGAAGAAAGGCCAGAAAAGACTGAAATGGTTCATTTATACAGGTTTTATTGAAGTTCCACAGAAGTCACTGGAAAGACTCCAGTCAGTTTTGCATGAGGCTTAGGGCTCAGAGGATCTCCTATGTAATCCACTTTTATCCTCATCACTTAGCAACTGTGTCCTTCCATTCTCTTTTTAATAGGAAAGGCTCTGATTCTTCCTTAAAATGCTGTAACATGCTGTCACCTGTTCACTCAATGTCTTACTTGAACAAAAACCACCTCTGCAGCTGTACCCCGCCTGCAGAAATCTGGGACGATTGCACTCTTGTCTTGAGACAAGCGTCATGGCATCCGGTGAACAAATTGTGAATATCTCCATTGCATTTCTAGGTTCAGAAGGTTCCTCTTGTAAGAACAGTAAGAACTCTTTTGGAAAGATTTCACTGCTTATTAGAGGAGTCATTAACCAGTCTGGAGACACCGGGCTCGATGGAATTATCAAATGCCACATGATAGCTGGAGTTTCCAGCACAGAGCGTCTCCTTTATTTTCTCTAGGGATTAGACTCTTCTTATCCCATTTCCTAGCCAATGAGCTTTTACTTTTCAGTTAAACTGGGCTCAATTATGAAATCAAGTGTCTGCCAGAAGTCTTGCATGTACCCTGGAGAATACCAGAACTGCTGCCAATTAAAGCAAAACGCTTCTGATCGGATGCAGGTTAAGAAGGAGCTGTTTACTTTTCTGACTCGGACCTGTTGGAATAATTTTTCTGAGAATAACATTCAGGGCAAATTTAACAGTTTTTGTAATGGGAACCTAGCCCACTTCAGTGGATGAATATTCTTCAAAGTAACTACTGTGTATTTCTTTTCCAAATTTTCATGTTATTATCCCTAGGAAGGTAGACAGCATCGGTCAGTGTAAGGATGTCAGCAGCTACTGTTGATGTGTGTTAACTACATCATCTGGTTTTGCTCTGGAATGCTGCTTTAAGAAGGTATTTGCCACCTAAATGAGTCAGTTGAATTGATTTAAGTTCTCAAAAGGCAAACAAGCCTCTTTTCTATCCCCCAAATGTACCTTTAATCCCATGTACACATAACATTGCAGCACTGCCTTTATGCTTTCCCACCTGCTTGTTCTTGTGGCAGGGGGGATCACACCTGCTCTCCATCAGTTTAGTCAATGGAGAGGCTACAGAGTCTGAAGTCTCACCTGGTTAAGCGTGGGAGGAGAAGAGTAGGTCCTGCCTGTATGTCCCAGCATTGGCCATGGGGTCAGTCAGCATTCTTTCCTGCTCCTGTCCCAGGACATGACTTTTGTGCAGATCCCAGATGGCATGAATTATTAGCTAGTATGAATGACTTGAGGGTGTTGCTGAGTCATGGAAATCCATGAGTTTAAGACTAGTTGCATGTGCTGAGGACCTCATATCAAAAGCAGACAGAAATTTGGCCTTAGATTCAGTCCCATGCATATGCATCAGGGATGCTTTGCTATGGTGGTGCTGCAAACACCCAAAAGAATATTTACTACATGGGGTCTTTTCTGTCTTATTTTAAGGTTGTATGGAAGTTTGTTGTGTGTTGTAAACACTTTTCTTCATCTTAGCGTTTACCTCCTCTGGCACTGTTAAGTCAGTCTAGGCATAGCTTGTTATGCTGGTAGGTAAAATCTGCAAAGAGCTTTGAGCCAAAAATCCTATCCGAATGGTGCAAATCCTCCCCTCTACAGACTCGTGTTTCGCTACAGCCTGCCACTGCCAGTGAAGCAAATTAAATGATTGAGTGCAGACTCAGATAACGTTTGAACTTTCCTCCAAGCTCAGGTGTTATGTATGTATAAGATCAGTAAACATCTCACTACTTTGTGTGGAATTACTTGAATCACTGTAAATGTCTAAAATTCCAAAGAAAATTTGTCATCATCATTTTAAATGTCTAAACCTTTAAAAAGCTCTAGAGAAAGTTAAACCTATTTGTGTGTATCACTGCAGTTGACTGTCTTTGTTTTGTGTAATTTGTCATGAATTCAATTGGAAATGGAGGTGGAAATATAACAACAACAATAACAAAAAAAAAAAGCCTGTGGCATCTCTTATGCAGACAAAACCCGGTAGGTAGTAGAAACTTTTTAAAGGTCGAGAGCAAATTTCCATTCTACTTCCCACCTGACTAATGTTCAGGTGAGTTTGGATAAACTTTGGATTATATCTCAAAACTCATTCTGCCATGATATACCCATGGAGACCTTTTGCCATTGCTAAATCTGGTATGTAGCATTCTACACCTAACAGGGCAGGGAATACATGGATAGCTTGATATAGATATATATCCATCAAGGGTTGTTTCATCCAGTGATAACTTGGTCTCTTTCTGGCACTTTGTTTCTTTTCCATTCCAAAATAAAGAGTAGAAAGACATTTGAAAGTGATAGGGAACGGTTCCATCAGCTGTCTGAGATTTCAGAGAGGAATTCCCCAAGCACTGTGCAACTTCCGAGGCATCCATCAAGTGCTGTTCGTTATAATTATCCTGTTAAAGCGAGGTACCAGCTCTGATGAGAAGTGGTGCTGTGGAGAAAGCCTTTTGCTCCGATGTTTTTACCAGATACTGGTTGGTATTTTACAAAGCAGCCTGGTTCAAAGCAGGCTGGCTGCAACAATCTCCTGGAGTGGCTTTGAAAGACACGGCTCCTTAAATGCGTCCCAGCTTTATATATTGTTAAGGTTTTATTACATGGCTTGAATGACCCCGGTTGGGTAATCTACAATGACTGAACAAAACGGTGGAGTCAGTTCGTCTACAAACTACAGTGATACATGCTGGTACAGGTTCTGTTGACTGCTTTGAGTAAACGTGCTGCTCTTCTGGGCAAATAGCACCATTGATTTCAGGGCTGAATGACTGAGGTTATCAACTAAGTTTGGCATTAAAATGGTGCTGGATTTCACCACACTTGCTGTGTGTGTAATGTTTTAATAATTCCTCAAAATGCCCCCCGGAAACCACGAGACTTACGACTGGCCAGGAAATCTCACTGTTGTTTCATCCTACTATAAGTACTTTATTCAAGTGACTTTTTCTTTGAATTTTTGTATGAATTTTGAAATAATTTCAGAATAATTATTTGTAATTATTTGTGTTGTTATTAAGTGGACTTTTATTATTTGGAGTAGCACAGGACTGTGTCATTCTGAGTAAAAGAAAGCATAATCAGTACTGCTACTGCAAATTATATATTGAATATTTAAAATAAACCCAGGAAATTTGCCTCATGTTTCACTGCATGTAGTAGATTCGAATAAATGAGAGAGTTTTTACTTTGAAGGTTATGTAGTGTCGGTGTAAATGGGCGAAATAGTACTTTCACTAATGGCTGCATTTTGGCTTATATTTAGAATAAAACTAGTCTGTCTGGTTGGATCCCTTTGCAGTGGAGGACGCTTTGTTTTTTCACCTGCAGCTTGCCTTGTTCGCACCCCTGTAGTGCCATCAGTGCAGAGCCAGTGCAGGATATTTGTATCACATCCCACAGCACACAGAGGTTTAGGTGGAGTTGCTAGGGCTTCAGTGCCAATTCCTGAAGTCAACATAGATCCATAGAGTTTGATTTTATTGACACAAAGCTAAACTTGAGCTTGAAATGGGAGGTGCTGGGAAGCACAAAGCATATGTGGCCAAGCCGAGATGGTCTGTCCGGGCTACCAAATGAGCCCTTCTGCAGCCAGGCATGGTCTTGATGTGGGACATTTGGGCATATTTAGATCTTTCTAAGAATTGAGGTTTTGATTTTTGATCTCTTCCCCCTCCGTTTTGGAGTTAAAGCGAAATATTGAAGTCAGATGTGTTTTCCCAAAGTGGATAGATACATTTCCTAATGAGTTCAAAATTTTTATGTCTAAATAACAATACCTATTTCAGCATCGGGAGCTATTAGAAATCCAGTGCAGTGAACTTATTTAACTGTGGATGTTTTGGAATGACCGAAAAAAAAATTGTCATGTTGATTATGTTTGACATTTATTATTTGCAGGGGAACGTGACCTTTTCCTGCTCAGAACCACCAATTGTTCCTATCACCTTTGTCAGCGCCAGTCGAAGCTACTTGCTACTACCCGGCACTCCTCAAATTGATGGTTTGTCAGTCAGCTTCCAGTTTCGAACATGGAATAAAGACGGCTTACTTCTGTTCACCGAATTGTCTGAAAATTCAGGACCTCTCCTGGTTTACCTTCATAGTGGGAGATTGACACTACTTATTCAGAAAGAGACAGAGAACCCAGTGGAAATCAGTGAAGGTACTTTAGTTTTGTTTACTCTCATCTGTCCCCCTTTAAAATACAAAGGTCCAACCCCACAGGATGAAGGGATGGTGAAATAAGGAAGTACCCAGTCTTCCTTTCTCTTTTCAAATTTTCTCTTGCTTTCCAGAGGTAGAACCACTGTGTGCAGCTTGAGGTAGGTCTAAGCATGGAAAACTGGCATCCTGAGATGTCCAGACTCTGTGAACCTGACAATTGGCTCAGCCTCTGTGCTCATAAACAGTCACACTGAATTTCCTTCAGTCAGGTCACATGAAGACCTTCTTGTTTCCCGTCCTCAGATTGTGCTGAAGCCACCTGGGAGCCAGCTCAGCAGCTGCGCCGTTCCCCAGCAGAACTTAAGGCCACCTCAGAGCTGATTTTCTTCCTCTGACTGTAGCTTCAAGAGGGTGAAATGGGGTTGCCTCTGTGGCCTAAAATTCCGGAGAAATTGCTTTTAAACAATTCGCAGAACAGCTATGCAGAGACAACAGGGAAACAATTTTAGACTGTATAACAGAGGTGGGACCAGAATGGCCCAGCTGCCATCCCAGTGTGACCTATATAAGGTATGCTGGCATGCCGAACAGAAACATTCTTAGTCCAGGGCCTCTGTACATCCCTTGCTGTGCAGCCATGCTGGGTGGGGGACTGGGAAATTCATTTTCTGCATAGGTTGAATACCCAGTTACCGAAGGGGGATGAGTAATAGCCTGATGGAACTCAGATGGAACTAAATAATAATAATAATAGTAATTTCTAAAAGAGCAGCTGTTTAAAAATATGTAATATTAAAATATTCCCAGCACAGACTAAAAGAGGGCAGATGTGTCTATTAAAAGAAACAGAGATAAAAACTGACAGAGTTGTCAAAGCGGAGCTGTTCCGTATACGTGTTTCATTCCCCTTTATGATAGAGAATGAGGCAGCCCTGCATCTATCCTTATTCATGTAGATTGCTACAGCCTTAGCACGCTGCAATTCAATACTGAAAACTGAATTTCCAGCCTTTATTGCAGTCCTAATTAAATTGTTGACAAAGCTGAGACAATGTCAATATTTGGTTTTATATAGTTCTGAAATCATGAACCCGAGCCCAGCCTTTGGTGCTATCCAAAACATTGCTAAACTACCTACTTACACATGGAAAAATATGCAGAAATTGCAAGTGCCATGTTCTGCAGATGTCAGGTACTCGGAATAAACTCATGCTTGCTCAAGAATGGCCTTATTTTTGCCCCAAATGGGACCTATTTTGTTTTGACATCTTTTCAAACTTCAACAACGTATTTCACTTCAAAATGGACTTGTTCTAGTTGACAAATCCATTTTTTCGGGGAAACCGGCCTCTTATTGTATGGAAATTGTGCATACGTTAGCAGCCATTACTGTGGAAATTGTCTCATTTTCAAATTCATAATGAAATGGCTTTTCATACACATAACACACACTTTTTTTGTTTGTTTGTTTTGAACTGTTCTCACACCTCTCTGTGTCACTAAGTGCTCGTTTGTTTCTTCTGAAAGCTACATTAACGAAAAATATTCCGTTAGGAAGGGGAGTAAATACTAGTTGCCTGTGCCTGGTCTCAGTGACTCCAGCCTGACAACAGTGTATTTTGAACTGTAATGAGGTTACTTTTGATCTGCACCACTGTGTGCGAGCTGAGAAGCTTGCCCACTGATTTTTATGGCTGTCAGAACAGAGGATGTGGAGTTTCTTTGTAGCTGTGTGGTGCTATTTCAAGAGCCATGAGATGCAACACTGATTTTCAGAATAAGGAAACAGAGAGGTTATTTCCCACTTTGCGCAAATGTCTAGAAGAAAAAGAGGATACCCAGTACCATAATGTCTCACGTACCTTCATAGGTTCCTGGTCAGAGCAACAATCCCAGCTCTCACAGGACCCATGTTGAAATCCAATATAGAAAGGCTTTGGTACATCCACCAATAAGACTGTGTGCTAACTTAGTGCTGAAGGGTTTTAAGAAACACAAATCCTACTGATACCTACTGGAATTTGTCAGGTTTCATACTGGAGCCTGAGACAGGTTGTGACCATCTCACTGAATCTAATCCTCTGCAATCTCAGGCATATGTTCAGTACCAGGAGCTCAACAGAGATCTTCTCTGTGCACTCCTGTGAGCTATAAGCATTTCCCAACAGACTGAAAATGAGAAATAAACACCCATGAAATGGTAATAATTGCTAACAGAAAGGCAAAGGGCCCTGCTAGTTTGCTGAGTGCCTGCATTACCGGAAGCAGGTTAGATTAAAATGCGAGATGACCTACTTAAATACTCTCAAAAGCTTTCTCTTTCTTGGGCCTTTTCTTCTATGCCCGTTTTTTTTCCAGAGGTAATGAGTTCTTTTCAGTTGCCAGTTCTCCCTATTTTGGAGTCAGCTGCACATTTGTGGTCACAAGTTGGAAGCAAAAGGAGGTTTGAAGACCACAGTTGCCTACTGCACCTCTTTTTTTCACTTTTTGTACTTGTTTTGTTTTGCCAGGCATCAATCTCCACGATGGGCTTTGGCATTCTGTTAACATCAATGCCAGAAGACATCGCATTACCCTGACACTGGATAACAACGCTGCCACTGCTAGCCATGCAACCACTGTCTCAAGGATCTACTCTGGGAACAGCTATTATTTTGGAGGTAGGTTGTTTCAGACAGATGCAGGACAGGTTTTCCTGATGCAGATCCTCATGTCCTCACCATTGAGGTCTCCCCAGGTGCACTATGTTTGCAGCTAAGAGGAAATCTTCTAATAACTGATTTTAGACCGCCTATTGAGTCCCAATGCATACAGCACTGTGGGAAGATTGAAGGGTCTTGGTCAACCCTGACAGAGTGAGAACGAGCAGACATGCTAACACAGCTGTAAAAGTGGACTACAGGTAGTGGTAGCCAATGGGTACCTACATGTAGCTGGCAAAACATGCAAAAGCTACACAGCTCTATTAGCCACAAGTTTTTTTTTTCTAGTTAAAAGGCTCGAGGACTATTAGTATTATTAATATTCCTGTAGCTATCACTGTCCTGATCAGGCTCAGTGACTTTAGACTTCAGAGCTTAATTGACGTATGGCTCAGATCTACAAAGGTATGTAGGTGCTGTGCTCTCGTGGAAATGAATGTAGGTTTAGCTCAATTTTGAAAATGGAAAGAACAATCTTGAAAAATACTACCTTCTGCTTTTTGGAGTGGAAGCATTAATTTAGATAAAGGGAGTGTCATCAACTGTCTTTTTATCTAATATATTTCTGTGTAGTGCTTACTGCAGTGAGGCTCTGATCTCGATGAACCCTCTGGATACAGCACTAAGTGAGGATGCACAGGGGGCTTTGGATCTTAGAGCTGGCCAAATACAGAGAAGTCTCACTTACAAATGGTTTTCTTGCTTTCCATCCACAGGATTTCATCCTTTTACTCTGTGGATTGCCCCAGCAGCAGAATTTAACCCATAATGATTTTACAATTTGCACAGCTTTTTTATGGGAGTCAGTTGCTATCAACTGTGGAGTTTAAAGAAGATGGGAAAAAACACATTTTGATTTTGCTTGATACATGTAAAAACCGCATACTCTATTGTTTCCAGTGTCTGTTGTTTTGGGTTTTTTTAATCTTTTAAAAAAAAAATTTTTTTACCTTACTGAGGGATTTATAACACATAAGTTTGCGTAGCACAAGGAATGAAAACAATTGGAATAATAAGCCCCCAAGTTCTTGCATCAGGAAATCCCAGCAGAAATAGATGAACATTCCAATATTCTTCTCTGCCTCTTCTCTTTTTCCCACAGGGTGCCCTGACAATTTCACCGATTCCCAATGTTTAAATCCCGTTACTGCTTTTCAAGGCTGTATGAGGCTCATCTTTATTGATAACCAGCCCAAGGACCTCATTTTAGTTCAGCAAGGCTCCCTGGGGAATTTTAGTGATTTACACATTGATCTGTGTGGCATCAAAGACAGGTAATTATTGTTTCCTCTTTCTTGTATTTGTTCTTTTTTTCATCCTAGTGGTTTATAAATACAGGTTGCATTAAGTGAAAATTCTAATCTGCCAACATTACAGATATTAGGCATAATAGAGCTACTAATAGAAAATATTACAGCAAAGATAGGAGGACTGGAGGGGAAATGGTTTCAATTACATGAGGCTCTCTTCACATTGACTTGTAGGAAATAGAGTATGTAAATTCAATCAAACTACAGATTGGTGGAAGGATTAAATTTTATGCATAAACAACATTTGATTGCTTTGAAGTTTTAGAGGCGAATGGAAGAGAAGGAAAAATTATTTGATTCATCAGAATATGTCATCCCCTTAATATACTAGCTGGTTTTGCTTAAGTAGATCATTTACAATTTTTCTTGTTAGCCATTAGAGCACAGCACGTTTATAATGAAGATATGGTACACCTCATGCAACGTACTGCCCATTCAGTAGGACGATATAATGATGAAATGTCTGTATCTAACAGAGACACATTTTGGTTTAAATACTGATCTGAATCCCTCCTAAGCTGAAACCTGACAGGAAATCCAAATTTTCTCATAAAGAGTAGAGAGGAAATAAACAACCAGGTTTTTTTTTAATATTTCATAATTTCTCCTTTGCTTTCTATGGATTTTTAGTGTCTAAATATTTCTGAATGATCTCTGCAAATGTGTACTTTGAAGTTCGTACGTGGAATAATAGGCAATGGTTTTGTCTTTTTTAAATCTAACTAAATTCTGAGAAATGGAAATGGAACTGCTGGACATTTCATGTGCTTCAGATAGCTAAGGGAGTAGTAAAGACATTTTGGAAATGTGTTAGGCACTTAAGCATTTAACCTGTTTTTTTTTTCAGACAAGTTGCTTAGGGAGTGGAGCTGAAGGCTGATATCCATTGTTGCTTACTGTAGGAGGGATCAGCCTGCTGGAGCTGCAACATTTTGAAAAGTGGGCAAAACCTCTGTTGTGTGAGACCTTTGTGCTCATCCTTCATCTTAACAAACGTGTTCATGTTAACTTGTACAGAGAAAATACTGACTCTGCCAATCAAACCTGTTTCCATGTTCAATGATGACTGAATTCAGGGGGGTGTGAATTTCACGTTTGGTGTGCCTCGAATGGTAGATGGTGTTGATAAGGTGCAGCTGATTTAACAAAAGGAAGTAAAATACAAACTTTCCTGAGAATTAAGAGAAAGAGAGTATTTTGCCGTTTCCTTGGAAAAACATATTCTGTAAGATCGAGTGGAACATTCAAAGGCAACTCGTATATTTATATTCTGAAACAGAAGAGAACTCTTCTGTTGTGATGCAGAGGGGCTGTGGGACATCTCCAGTGCCTTTGTTGCCACCAAGTCCAGGCTGCGATGTAAATCTGTGGTACTGCTGCAAGTATCTTCCTTGCTGGCGCCTTGGAGATTGCAGCTTTCTCATTCGGTGAAACACTCAGTGCTCTCTCCCTGTCTGGCAACTCCAACAACTGTGCTAAAGCTGTTTTCCAGGGAAGAAGGAAGAATTTGTTGGTTTGGGGTTTTTTTTTTGTCCAAATCATATTACCCATTTTACACATCTGGGACACAGTCTTGAGAGAGGTTAAATTTACAGAATAGATTTCAAGAAGTTACAAAAGTTGTTCTAAGAGTCACAGGGTGAAATACTGTTGGTGCGGTACTGAGGTCAAGAGTGGTCACAGCAGCAAGGGACAGTTGGAAAGAGAGACTCAATTCAAAGAAAATAAAGAAAATACAGACAAGAGGCAAATCTTCTTGTGTTGTTTTGCCAAAACAATTGATCCTAAGCCAGTGGATGAGCCTGGGGAAAGACTGAACAAGAAAGTATTCATGGTGTGTCTTCCTCCTAATAATTTTTGAGAATCTTAGGTTCTGCAAGCCTTTATTATGGCATAATTGGTTACAGCAAACTATAGATGGAAAGTTCAGCAGAACGGGAGCTTCCAATCTAAAGACTGTATTGCTGTCTAGTCTTCACTGTGTACTCTTGAGTACGTTTTCAAATCTTGTTCAAACTGGTTCATTGCACAAAATGTCTGGCGCTTCCAGTCACTGTAATTCAACTAGTCACCGTAGTTCAACTAGTGCTTTATATTGCAGCAGCTCTGGACTATAGGAAAGCTGGGGTCTGGCTCCAGGCGTGCAGTGTCCAGCTGCTCATTCTCTCGATATAAAGACTATTAAAACTCTGTAAAAGCGTCTTCTCTGAGAAATGTGATCTCCCCTTTCTTAATTATAAGATTTAGTGCTGTATGCACTGTAAAGCACGTTTTTTTTTTGTAATTTTAACGCGTGTGGGGATTGTGTGGCTCAATTAACATGTAAATGGGACATTTGTTTTAGTTATAGAAGCAAAACCCCTCTTTTGAGGAATATGCCTCTATTAAGCAAGCAGTTTATTTGTTACAGGCTTGTACACCAAGATCATTGAGACCTGGGCTCTGAAAGCAGTGGTTAGACAGCTCACTGCAACTTGTGCCTGCTCTTAAACAGAGAATTAATGACTTTGTTTTGAAAGATAATAAACTGGGACTGCTATTGATGACGGCAGTGTGTTTTTGAGGGAGAATTGAGTTGTGTAAGTATATTATACACACACACCCACACACACCCCCTGGGATTCTCACTATAAAGCTATAGGCCTCTGTTAATTTAAATGGGGCCATCTGAGGGACTAAGAATCACAGAATCACAGAATGGTCAGGGTTGGAAGGGACCTCTGGAGATCATCTAGTCCACCCCCCCCCGCCAGAGCAGGGTCACCTACAACAGGTTGCACAGGACAGCGTCCAGGCGGGTTTTGAATGTCTCCAGAGTGGGAGACTCCACCACCTCTCTGGGCAGCCTGTGCCAGTGCTCTGCCACCCTCAAAGTAAAGTAGTTCCTCCTTATGTTAAGATGGAACTTCCTATATTCAAGTTTGTGCCCATTACCTCTCGTCCTATCACTGGGCACCACTGAAAAAAGACTGTTCCCATCGCCCTGGCATCCTCCCTTTAAGTATTTATAAGCATTAATAAGATCCCCCCTCAATCTTCTTTTCTCTAGACTAAAAAGACTCAAGTCCCTCAGTCTTTCCTCATAAGAGAGATGTTCTAATCCCCTAATTATCTTTGTAGCCCTTTGCTGGACCCTCTCCAGCAGATCCCTGTCTTTCTTGAACTGGGGAGCCCAGAATTAAGCCTTAGTGTCTCATTGTCTCTCATCACTAGTATTTTAACTGTATGCGTGCTCAAGCCAACTTGGCATGAATGCCTTCTGCCTCCCTGTGTTTGTTATTTCCATCCTTCAGTAGCTATTTTTCAGGAAATAAATGCCCCGTCACTGGTTGAGCTATCAGAGTACACACAAAAAATGGGAATATCCATAGAAATATACAGAGCTTTGCCTTCTTTCCAGGGGGAGACAGTGCGAAGTGAAGATGCTTTTGGAGACACAAGCGAACTTGACCCTGTTGCTGACCCTGCTTTGAGCAGGGGGCTTTTGCTAGAGACCTCTAGAGGCTCCTTGCAGCCTAAGCGATCCTGTGAATGAGGCCACCGAGTAGCTGCTCTGGTCGCAGCTGAGAGGGCAATTCAGGATGTATCTGCGAGAGCTGGGATTAGCAGATGACACACAGAAAACTCATGTCTCTGTGCTTTCAGTAGGATGCAAAGACGCTGTGCAGTCTGCAGTTGAACATGGCAATCTGGATTGTGCCGGCGATGGCAGAAGGCTGGTTAGCACCATCTATTGAAAGACTGCTTGTTTCTAGCCCTCAGCTGCAGTGCCAGCATCACTTAATGTTCCTACTGCTGCATAGCAAGTCATCTCTGATTTTCCACCCCCTTGTACGGTACCTACATGTTGTCCTTAGGTGACACATCCTGTGTAAGGAGAGGCATCCCCAATCTATTCATATCAGAGCTGTGTCTGCTCCACAAGCCCTGCAAAATAATGTTGTATCCCCTTCTTTACCTCCTTTAAGACAAAGCTGTTCCTGCAAACTGTTCCCAATGTCTTGTGGAACAGGAAAGTAGAATCTGTAGGAGGAAGCATTTTTTCTTGTAGCAATGTGTGTGTAGGACTCTTGGCATTATCCCCACTGACTGCCTAATGTTAATTCAGCTAACTAATTTTTTTCCTTTCGTTCATAGTATGTGTGTTTGCTGTGGTTGTCCAAATACACAAATTGCTCAGTCTTTTCTGAGGATGTTGCAAAGTGTGGTGCTTACATTGCTCCTGTTCTGAAGAGTCAGAGGTCATAGCTGCCTCCAATGTATTTATCCCTATTCCAATGAGAGGTAAAGAAAAAATGAGACAATGTCCTGCTAAGTCCTAGAGGTTTGCTCCATATTTAAAAGGAAGTGGGTTTCATTTTATCCTTTGTTGTTGTTGCCTTTTCAGGATTTCTGCTTGGTTAGGAGTGCAGGTGCACATCAGGGGTTGTTTGCTTTACACTGAATTAATAAGTCAGAAAATACGGTTTCTTACAGCATGCTGTCATTTTTTCTCTGTGGCATGGTACAGAGCAGAAAGTAACAAGGCAGAGATGTCCGGAAGTTAAGGTTCCATGAAGTCCTTGAATTCAGAGACTTTTTGTTGGGGAGGGAAAGAAATCTTTTTGAGAGTCTATGCAGTCTTTTGCAGCAGTACATGTACTACATTGACCATCTCTGACCAAAAGCCATACACAAAAACAAATAAATGCAGGCTCTCTTTGAATTTATTTTAAGTTCAGAGTGATATAGATTAAGTTCATGGCTACAGGGACCATACAGCCCTAGCTCCTGGTGTTTTGCACTGTAAGCGTTTTTTGGGAAGGGAAGCATCTTCTGGGGGTGACATATTAAACCTAATAGCTTCCAGGGGAACACCTGAGCAGTTAGAAAGTGTAACAAGAACAAAACAATGCTTTCTGTCTTTGGCCCTTAATCTGTAGGGAGGACATCAGTGTCAAGGGATGGGGAGGTGGCAAGCAGCA